CGCCACACCATACGAACAGATTAAAACGATTTCAAACTTTCTATAATTCTGCAGTAGATACATGAGTAATGAACTATCCCGGTCAGACATTTACAATTAATAACGTAGCAGCCTGTGTGGGCACAGCATATACACGACCAATGACACCAGTTAACATCACAAGCGCTTTTTGAAAAACTGAAATATTTCCATTTGATCGGCATGTCTTCACTGAAGAAGATTTTTTGTCAAGTTTTGTGACAGACAGGCCACTAGTTGCAGTTGAAAATGCTGCTAAAAATATAAATAAATCTCTAGATGTAGAAAATCCAGGTCCAAGTAATACTGATACCACGAAAAATTGTGTTAGTCCAACAGTTTTTAAAGATTATCCTAAAGGTCCGACATGAAAATCTGGGAAGAACAACAAAAAGAGCAAAAGAACGACAATGTGTACGTCTACGGATAACCCGGAAAATCGGAACGGATTAAATCTAAAGAAAAAACACCAAAACAGAAAAAGTAACTAGGCGAGCATTAGATAGTGATTCTGATGAGCAAGTTGAAAATGAGATGGAATATTCCAGCGGAGAAGAGGATTTTATTGGTGAAGATCCCGAATCAAGTAGTTTCGAAGATCTTGATCGCTGTCCCAATAATGGGAATTATGTGCTTGATGAATTTAACTCTAAGCAAAGGACATACTATGTAGGCAAAGTCTTGTCTCAAATAAAAAAAACGATTTTAAAATATCGTTTTTAAGAAAAAGCGTAATTGAAAGTTTTGCGTCTCAGTGTTTCTACCAATCCCCTACTTTTTTATGGTTTGAGGTATTTTACATCACACCTTCCTGGGGTGATTGCGGGGTGGATTCAGTAGCTCTGCGGTTACCACAGCCGGTCCCAAGCTCCGATAAAATGTGGAGGGTGATTGGCAAGGTTAGCAACCTACCAAGCGTAAAAACCAATACTGCTCAAAGAAACAATGTACAGCCTCGGAACCGGATTGATACTATGAAGACAACTACGGCAAGAAATAAGGACAAGCGAAAAACATCCAAAACCCAGATGAGAATTACTACTTGGAATATCAGATCACTCAACTCAAGGGACCAAGAAATATCCCAAGTGTTGAAAGAGAAAGAAATAGACATTTGTGCTCTACAGCAAACAAAAAAGAAGGGAAATGGTCAATCAAAATTGGGTAAATACATACTAATCTACAGTGGAGTAGCAAAAGAAAACATGGCCAAAGAAGGAGTAGCTTTACTAATACACCAAAGGTACCAAAATCACATCAAAGAGTGTCAATACATATCAGAAAGAATAGTTACAGCAAATATAAGAATGGAGAAGAAAGACCTGAACATCATTGGAGTATACGGCCCAGAAAATAATAAGCCTCAAACAACAAGGGAACCGTTTTACGACCTATTACAACAAGTAGTAGATCAAGTCAGAGGAAAGATGATAATATTGGGGGATTTTAACGTTCGAATAGGCAATCAAGTAATACCCGGCAGCAAACAAAAACATAACGAGAATGTTAAAAACAAAAATGGAGAACTGATGATCAACTTCTGCCCGGATAACGAACTAAAAATAAACAACACATTTTTTGACCACAAACACCAACACCAATATATTTTGGACCGTGAACAACGTGGACAAAAATCTATGATCGATTATGTTATAACCAACAGAGATATACATCCATCAAAAATAATCGACGTAAGATGCCTCAACTCAGTAGATGTAGGTAGCGATCATAGCCTAGTATTATGTAATACTTCCCACCCAAGAGAGCGGCGCCAACACAAACAAAAATCAAAGTCGAAGGACTAAATACGGAATTGACGGAATACTTACCTATACAGGAAAAGAATATCAGAGAAGATGGCTGGGAATGAAATATTAGAAAATGATAACATCGAGGAAAGCTGAGAAAAACTCAAAAATAATATAATTAACGCAGCAACAGAATCACTTGGAGAGAGGAAAGTAACTAAAGCCGCGTTTTCACGATGAGAATTGGTGAGACAATTGTAATTGGACAATTGTCATCACGTAGTTGCGGATTGTCGGAGGTCAGTCCAGTTGAACGAGAAGATGTTTATACGGGGCCAACTATTGCCATGCCAGTAGACAGCTACAAATAACACAAACCACGTGTATGTTTTGACTGACACCAGAGAACTAGAGAGAACTGGCAAAAAACAAGACAACACTACTGGCCTACACCGTTCACACGGCGCCAATTGTCGCAACAATTGAGATTTCGAGTGGTGGGGGCTCACTGGGCGCAGCTCATTGTCCTCAGTCTACTCCCGGAGACAACTGAATTTTGGGCCAATTGTGAAGACAGCTGGCAAGGCAATTAGCCTGAAGTGTTTAGACGAAGACAATAATTTCATACCAATAAGTTGTCTTCTGACAATTGTCTCGCCAATTGTCATCGTGAAAACGCGGCTTAACATTAACATATCAAAAAAGAAAACACCATGATTTAAAGAGGAAGTGAAGACAAAATGTGAAGAAAATAAGAAAGCATTTTTACAATAAAGAACATAACAAACACAACATCAGATCATCAGAATCAGAAATGAAACGAATACTTTAGTTAGACAAATGGAAGAGTTTCTCAAAACAGATGAAACACAATTTCGACGGAACACAAAAAGAAATATGGAGAATGATCAGAGGACAAAGAAAAGAAATGAACTTCTTCTTCTTGTAGTGCCTATCCGTTTCGGATGTTGGCGACCATCATGGCAATCTGCACTTTGCACACTGCTGCTCTAAAAAGATTTGTGGTTGTTGTGTTGAATCACGTTCGTAGATTTTTCAGCCAGGAAATCCTTCGCCTTCCTGGTCCCCGTTTTCCTTCTACTTTTCCCTGCAAGATTAGTTGCAGCAGTCCATATATTTCGCTGTTCCTCATGATGTGACCGAGGTATTCGATTTTGGCTGTTTTTATTGTGGTTAACAGCTCTTTTTCTTTTTTCATTCTCAACAGAACACCCTCATTAGTAACGTGGTCGGTATACGATATCTTCAGGATGCGACGATAAAGCCACATTTCAAAAGCCTCAATTTTCTTGCAGGTGGCGTCTGTGAGAGTCCATGACTCAACTCCGTACAACAGTATAGGAAAGATGTAACATCGTAGTAACCTGATTTTTATGGGCATTGATAAATCATGACATTTGAATAACTTAGCCATTTTTTGAAATGCAGATCTTGATTTCTCTATTCTACATTTGATTTCTATGGAATGGTCCCAATTTTCATTGACGTTCGTACCAAGGTAGGTGTATGTTTTTACTCTTTCTATTTGTTGACCGTTTACACTGATTTGTCCAAATTGCTGTTCCTTCTTAGAGATCATCATGCATTTTGTTTTCTTAGTGTTTAGTGAAAGTCCGTATCTCTGACTGACCTCTGTGATTCTGTTCATTAACTCCTGGAGAGTTTCAGAGCTGTCAGCGAATACTACCGTGTCGTCCGCGTATCTAATGTTATTGATATATTCTCCGTTGATTCGGATTCCGGCTTCAACATCACCCACTGCTTCTTGAAAGATTTCCTCAGAGTATATATGTTAAACAGCAGTGGTGATAGTATACATCCCCGACGGACGCCACGTTTGATTTTGATATCGTCGGATTCTCCTGCCTCTGTCCGGATAGATGATGTTTGATTCCAGTACAGATTGCTGTCAATTCTTAAATCACAGGTGTTTATTCCAATATTGGTTAATATCTTCATCAGCTTGTCGTGCTTTACTGTATCGAACGCTTTATGGTATTCAATGAAGCACGCATAAATGTCGCAGTTCACAACAAATGTCGCAAGAAATGAACGAACTAATAAAAACGAAACACATTCAGAAGGAAACATGGGTAGCCTATATTCGATCCCTGTTTGCTAAAGGTGACGATGATAAACCACCAATACCAGAGGTTGCGACAAACGAAGAAATAAATATTGAGGAGGAAGAGGCAAAGGAAGCATTAAGAAAATTAAAAAATAGAAAATTACCTGGAGAGGACAGAATACCGAACGAACTCCTAAAGTACGAAGGACCAGATCTGACCAGACAACTATTAAAACTAATCCAAAAAATAATAGAACAAGGCACAATTCCTCAAGAATGGAGACCAAGCATTCTAATACCTCTCCTCAAAAAGGGAGACAAATTGGACCCGAAAAATTACAGAGGAATTAATTTATTATACACAACACTAAAATTAACAAACAAAAGTGATAACAAATAAATTAAATGCACTTATAAAACTAGCAGAAGAACAACAAGGTTTTAGGTCGGGAAGATCATGCACCGACGCTATATAAATAATGAGGCAAGTGCAAGAGAAATAATTAGAATACAACAAACCGGCATATCTATATTTCGGGGACCTTACAAAGGCATTTGACCGAGTCAAATTAAAAGACGAGAAAAAGAAGGTATTTTACAAGCATGTTATCAAGAATTTGTTTCATTTTTACTGCTGTATTTTACTAATTCTAGTTTGCTCCAGTTCCTAATTCCTATATTCCAAGATTTTTCCTTGTATTAATGTGTTCGTGCACATGCTATATCAGTATTTATGCCTTTATATGTTATTAGAACTATATTTTTCAGTACCTATACCTACATATTATTTTGCAAATTTTTATCGTGGCGATCCTCAGTTAATCCTTCAAGTTTTCTAAAATATTTATATAAAAATACATCCTCGCATTTCTAATTTTTAATATTAATATAATTTTTATTTTCAATAAAATATTTATTATATAAATATTTATATATTATATAAACTCTAACCTACTACAATGGTTTAAGGATACGACCCTGAACTTGCCAAACGCACTCCCACGAAAAACGAGTGTGGATGACTATGCGAGTTGCGACGCACATAAGGGTTGTTTTATTTTTATTGTCGAATTGCGCTTGCGCGTCTACAAGACGCGCCCTATAGATTAAAGCCCAGCCGAAGCCAGACAGAGAGCACCTGTTACATTTGCCATTTGCACACAAAGAGGAGACGACCGACTAACTACAGGCATAGCTCGACTCGGTGTAACTTAACTTTTAAATTCGCATTATATATCGCGTGTGTGTACCAAGAAACGATGTCCGAACAAGAAGCCGTCGCCAACAACGCCGTAGAAGAACCAAAAACTGAAAAAGCCGAAAATGCGGTTGAAGAAACAAAAGAGGTAAAGGAGAATGGGACCGGGGAAGTAGAACCTGTTGCCGAGACTGAAAAAGAGGCCCCCAAGGAGATGCGAGCCGTGGTTTTAACTGGATTCGGTGGATTGAAGTCTGTGAAGATTCTTAAGAAACCCGAGCCTTCTGTGAATGAGGGAGAAGTTCTGATTCGAGTGAAAGCATGGTAAGTTTTTTTTACTTCTTAAAAACTTTTAAACACCTTTTTTTCAATATCGAAGGTCATTGATATTCAAGTATCTCATTTATAAAGTACGTTAATTATTTAAATTAATAGAAACAAAGTAATCAACATGCATTATCTACTTCTTATTTTCATTGAATGGAATTTTTTTATAACTATATAGATTATGGTTTTTATGTGTGTAAATAATAAAAAAATAACAAGTAAGGATTAATTAACGGTATTGTAAAATTATTTTTATTTTTGGGTATAATTAGTAAATTATTGATGAGTTATCACCCCCTTGAAAAGTTCGGCTAAACATGGGCGTAGATAAGACCACAAATTTTTTATTGGCGTTCGAGTATTAAACGGCAAAATAATTTTTTGACATAAATATGCTTATCAGATTTGTTTTAATTTTAACAATTTTTATAGAGAAGTCTAATGAAATGAGTATTTGTAGATTTTTTATTTGAAACATATTAAATTGGGCGTAGTCTTGAATAACTAACCCTCCTTACATTATAGTATATTCACAGTATGATAATTTTTTGCTTTCACTATAAAAAACACAGAATCTGAACATCTTGACTTTAACAAAATTTTTGTCGGTGAATACTTATTTTATGATCATTTTGCATTTTTTGCGATTTCTTATTCATTTGTGATAATATTTAATCCTTGGGTCTACCTGTTACCTTATGGATGTCATATTCTCATGTTTTTATCGATATATTTATGTCTCTAATTACTTTTTTCACATATGTCTTCCCATGCCACACCTATTTTTATGCCGGCTTTCTACTTCTTTCGACCTATTCACTTCAGCCTTTCGCGATCTCTATCCATCTGTATCTTACCATGTCACACGTCTTTTTATGCAGACTTTCTTCTTCTTTCGACTTCTTCACTTCGGCATTTTTATGCCGGCTTTCTTCTTTCGACTTTTTCACTTCGGTCTTTCCTGATCTCTATCCCATGTTTCATCTTCGTCACTTTCTTTAAGTAATTGGTTCTGCAGAAGAATATTGTCACTATTCCATATTCTCAAAACCCGAGATAAATAGATAACTTGTCTGTGTTGTATCACATATCCATGTTATTTTTGTTTGATCATGGTTTCAGTTGCAGAATTTTCTGTATATTTCTATTATTTTAAATTTTTCGTAGGAGGCCTATATATTACTTTCAATGTCTATATTCTCAGTTCTTTTGAATATTTTTCTATATATCCGACTTCATAGCGCAATCTTCACGCGATCTCAATCTTGCTGTCTACCCAGTCTTAACTTCTAAAGTTTCTCTCTTAAATTCCCCTTATCCATATAATAGGTGGTCTGCCTCTTTCTTTTTTCGTGTGATATTCAGTCCCTTACTATTTTAGGCACTCTCTTACATAACTTGTCTGTGTCCATACGATATTTACTTGAATTGATTTTAAAAAATTTTCAGATATATCTCATATTTTTCTACAAAGTATGTGTATATAACTATCGGACCTGTTTACAAAGTTTTCTCGCATTTGCACATCTTCTATTCGTAGTTTCGTATTAGTCATGTTAATTTCGAGTCTCAATTTTCTTCTTTCTTTCTCTAGTTTTCTACTCATATATTCTAAGTCTTCTCTATCTTTGGTTATCACTACTTGATAGTGTGTATAGTGCCATCATCATAAAGAAGCCTTCATTTATCACGTCCACTGCTGGACGTAGGTCCCCCTAAACTCATCCATTCTTTACGATTTTGTGCTCTTTGTTGCCAATTTTTGGTGATACACCTGATTTATACACCTGAGCCCAACGTGTAGGTGGTCTTCCTCTACTACGTTTGTCTGCTCTTGGCCTCCAATTTGTAACTTTGCTCGTCCATTGTAAGTCGTGCATTCTTGCTACATGGCCTGTCCAGTTCCATTTCATTTCCGCTATGTGTTTCACATCAGCAATACTCGTTCTTCTTCGCAGATCTTTGTTTCTTATTCGGTCCCGCAACGTCACTCCCAGCATATTCGTTTCTGTGCCACTCTCAATTTTGAAGCCGAACTCTTGGTTAGAGTCATAGTTTACGCCCCATAGGTCATGACCGGTAATACACATTGGTCAAATACTTTATTTTTGAGGTTAATTGGTATGTTGACCCTAAGTGTGTCTCACCGTTTTCCATAGGCTGCCCACGATAAAGTAATTCATCTTTGGATTTCGCATGTTTGGTTATCCAAATTATGTTGAGTTGAGTTTGGTTATTCGCATGGTTTGCTGATTCTTATTTCATGACCCAAATACGTATATTTCTCTACCAGTTCTACCACTTTGTTTTGAATAGTTAAGTGGTTATTGGGAATCATATTTGTCATAAAGTTAGTTTTGGTCAAGTTAATTCTGAGGCCCACCTTCGAACATGCAAGGTCCAATTCATTTAACATATCTGTGGCTTCTCCTAATTTATCTGTGATAAGGACAATGTCATCTGCGAAACGGAGATCGTTAAGCTTTTCGTCGTCTATTGTTACTCCTTTGTGGTCCCAATTGACCATCTTCAAGGCATACTGGAATGTCGTTATAAATAATTTCGGTGACAGTGTATCTCCTTGCCTTATCCAACGTTTTATTTTTATTGGTCAGGTTTTATCGTGTATCTTAAGTCATAGTAGCATTTTTATAAATAGGTATTGTAAAAAAGTTCACTATACCTATGGTCCATCCTGCTGTCATTCATTGCTTCTATAAGGCTGTTTATAGTGTCAGCCTTAAAGTGTATAGTGTAATGTACCTGAAATGTTATGATGTTAACCCATGACTGAAATGTATCTTTTTAGCTCCTTGTGTGGCCCTTGGGGTCCCCCATCACAAAAAATGTGTTTTTATATTCGAAAAAAATTTTCCTGAGCGATTCTTTACTTTAAAAATCTGAAAGAGTTCACGAACATACATTGTAATACCCAAAAACAGTTTTCAGATTTTTTGGATCAAAATTGAGCTAAAGTAAAATATTTTTTGAATTTTTCAAAAAATTTTAGGTTGTGTAGGTAATTTTTGGCAAACTTCTAAATTATTATTTCTCGTACACAACCTAAATGTTTCTTGATAAATTTAAATATTTTACTTGAGCTCAATTTTGATCCAAAAAATCTGAAAAAAATCACAGGGTTTTTGGGCATTAAAATGTATGTTTCTGAATTTTTTCAGAATTTGTAAAGCACAGAACGGTCAGGAATTTTTTTTTTTTCGAAAAAACACATTTTTTGCGATAGCGGAACCAGGGGCTACCTAGGGAGCTAAAAAATTGGCTAAAGAAGTTTCTAAATTATATACTTTCAAGTACTCAACCGCCAAAAAAAAATCCAACCGAGTACAGATTTTATCTTCTTATCCCACTATAGCCTTCCTCTAAATATACGGAATTATCTATTTATTTCAGTTTCGGTTCTCATATCTTGGAAAAATTGATCATATTGCTTTATTTGTTGACTGTTCTGATATTGTTCGAGTCCTAAATATTTTCCCTTTCAATGTTATTGATTTTTTTAATGTGTAATGCCCAGCTTGAAAATATTTTCTATATGCATTCTATAATGTCAAAAGGTTAATGCTCATTTAGATAAAGATTTTAATAGTTAATTAAAAATATTGTTATCACTTTAGATTAAACAATAGCAAATATTAAATATATTAAAAGTTTTTTAAATTTTTATAATTCTCAAAATGCAAGAAAAGTTTAGTTTCTAAGGGATCACATAGTTAAATTTGCTTTTGATTTATAGGAAGATTTACAGTGAACTTAGTAGTATGAAATGATGAAAAGGTTGTCAACGTGAGTACATCATACTAATGCATAGAGATAATTCAACTCAATATTAGTAGTATGATTCAACATCTTTGGTAAATCTGGTGAAAAAACAAATACTCCAGTCACTCGAGCTATTAACCTCCTAATTTTATCGGACTGAACCGATTCACTTGCAATTTGGTGAGTTGATGGGAAGGTGCTCGAGTAACAAAAGGTATATAACACCGATGTGTGCTTTCGCTCCAGAGTGGTTGCCACCGTCTCCAGGGTGTAAATTCTTTAGCACAAAATAATCACACTAATCAATAGAGGATTAAATTCTAAATAACTTTTGTTCTGTCGAGTTTTTTCAGAAAGCCAATACTGTTTAAGCTATTCATGGTTGAAAACAGCGAATTTTCATTTAAAAAAGTATCGTTTTTTAACGGTTCTTCATGAATATTTTAAAAAATATGCTTTCGATCAGAAAAGTATGCAAAACACATATGAAGCTTATAGAGAAGAATGAGATTTATTTTTTACGTAAGATATTTGGTAGAAAAATCCCAAGACATCTAGTGAAGCCTAACAAATGAAATATTTCTTTTACGTGCCTACATATGCAGACATATTCTAAACCAATGTTTAAAGCATTTCAGGGAATTAATAAAGAAAGCATGGAAAACATAATTTCGCGGTTGAGTGTATGTGTGTATTTTCCTGTCTATTTTTGGACAATGTCTCCCTAAGCACACGGGGATTTTGACCCTAAGTTTCTAAGCTGGTGTGACGGGTTGGAAAATTGTTGGGAATTATATTTCTGAAATTATGTGAGGCAGCGTATAACTGCAGTAGCCCCGCTCATGATACTAAGACTAAGAAGATAAGATATTGCGCATAAGTCGTGACGTCATTGGAGAGTTTAACGTTCGAAATGTCAGTTTTTTGTATGTATCAATAAATAATCTTTAATAAATAGTTTGGAGATATTCTTATATGTACGATTATTGTAATTACTAAACCTATTAACTTATTTTTGTTTAGTAATTTCATCACAGAATGCATACAAATCCCATTTAACTTTAACAAGAATTCAAATTCTGCTCTTCAATGGCGGCATGCGCGAACACGACCTATTTTGTGCTACGAGAAGATCCTATCTTGTTATTATAGTATCATGGTCCCGCTCATTTTCGCTCGCCAGAACCTGGTTCGCTATCTATCACGATTTTCAGAGC